CCCCCCCCCCCCCCCCCCCCCAAACAACCAACATGGTGTGTAGTGGAACAGCTTTACTTTTTTTTTTAATTCCCCTTAGAAATTGGTTGGTCACTATCAAAACAAAAGATACTGTGAAGTATTAATTTATGTAAATTAGATGAGAAAGTAGGATGCTTATGAATTATAGGGGAGCTAACAAAACAAGAACACACCTATTGAAGTTATGCAGTTTGAAAGGCTGTAAGTTTCTTCTTAAGTTACTTAATAATGTGGTGTGTTTGGGTATATACCACTGAAAGTTCAGTATTTCTTCTTCTGTCTATATGCCGATAGTTACGTGGGGCACAAATATTGGATGCCGTGCGACTCCACAAACAGGGATTTCCCAAGTTTCTGCCATTGTCAGAATTTCGACGCAGATTTCGTCTCTTGGCTCCTGCAGATGGCCGTCCAGCCAGCCCTGTACTTGACGAGCGCCGTGCAGTTGAGGACATGTTGCTTGGTATAGACATTGACATGGCATCATATCGTGTTGGCCTTAGTCAGGTAGGAACAAGTTGCTATTTTATTCATAAATTTGTTTTGAAATCTCCATGTGAATTTGTTTTATTACTTTTTTTTTAGTGTTGGTTTTCCTATTGCTTCTCTCATCTTGTGCTAAGAAACTATCTTTTCTTTTCTCTTATTTGTATCAATTTCTTTCTTTGTAAACATTTTTGTAAAACTTCTATACAAGTGAAGTCCAATATTATATCTCTGTACTGCCATGTTGCTGTTTAGCTAGGCCCAATACTTCTACAGTTTGTCAAAATCTAACTTACTGGTTTTAGTATGTTATCCACTAGTTATTTTTTAACATGTTCTATGTAGGTTGTAATTTTTTTAGAGTTACATGTTCAGAACAAGGAGGAAAGATTGTGAAAATGAAACAGCATTACCAGGTTCTGAAGTATATTTGAGTGTCTGATTTGACAAAGTGACAGGACCCATGTTACCATGGCATGGCACGGCACATATGTTGACTTGTAGATGGAGCAGAAGCTCTTCAGATATGGAGTAACTGCAGATGTATTGGATAAGAAGTCATGGACAACTGACTGACAGAGGGTGGTCCTGCAGCATTTGGGTTAGGTGGGGGTTAGCCTCCTCACTCTAGAAAACCAGCTTGTTATGAAATAATACACAGGGCAAGCTGTTGTGAACATCGTAATTTTAATTTTGTGATTCTACAAATGGCAGGGAGATTCATAAATAGCTGGGCATACTGTCAGCTCATCAAGGAGGGCTCTGGGGCATGGAATTGGAATTTGAAGAATGCCATTTTAAACTACATGATAGACTTTATGATATTGACATTTAATTAAGAAATATGTAGCATGTTACTGTAGAACTGACTTGCTCATTACATAACATTACCAATTTCATCTGTTGAATGATTTTGCTTCCCACCAAACTTTCAATTGAGGATCCACATGAATGTGGGAGGTCAGTCATGAATTGGCGTGATCAATGTGAAGCCTTCACAGACAAACAATTGACAACCATCCTCTTCCTTCCTTGCTTCAAGGTTTACCATTTCCTGTTGCATTTAGGTTTTGTTACCGCTATTGATGCCTGGCTGTTACATAAAGCATTTTTGAATCAGTATTACTATAATTGAGGCCTTGGCTAAGCTTGGGGGCAATATTTCTAGGTTTTATTGAGATTGATGTTATGCATTGGAACTATTGACCCATTCTTCAAGCCACGTTTTATTATTGCACAGGTATGTGTAGGAGTAATGCCCCAAAACTGTATTTGGGAGATACCCAGTTTGAATCTCTACCTTGTTTACTATCTATGCTGAGTGATGTTTCTGTTTGTTTTCCTCACTCTCTTGGTGGGAATGCCATTGTAGTGTTTTAGATAAGTTACATAATCATTACCTCATTACCATTGTGATCGTCTTCCCATCTTATTTAATGTAGTCCAGACCACAACCAACATATCAGTATGAAGATTTCTGTCTTCTGGGTTATTGCGCTGTGTAGTCTGGTCGATGTTAACCAACGTTTCAGAGGTCATACTGCCTCCGTCATCAGGGCGATGAATATGCCAATAGGGTGTGAGGAGTTGGATTTTATAGGCAGGGAAGTGAAAGGTGTAGCCTGCCCCGAGCCAATGGGAGCAGGTATGGGAGTGGACCAATGGTAGCACGTGGGCGAGAGTGGGAGAGGGAGAGAAAGTAGAGAGAGAAAGGTGAGTTTAGTTGTATGGATAAAGGCCCTGAAAGGGGCCGAGTTAGTGGTCTGGTTGGTTCTGGCGGCGCACTCTTGCTCGTTCTCGGAGTCCTCGGAGTGTGTGGATCAGAGGCTTCCAGGACCGGCTCAGGGGAAGTCCATCTTCCCTGTTAAAGTTATCAGGATGAAGTTCGATCTCGATGGCTTCCCTGATTAACCGATCCATGTAGCCGGTTTTTGAGGAGAGGATAGAAGTGTCCTCTAGCTGTATCTTGTGCTCCAAGTTGAAGCGGTGCTTGGTAGACAAACGTCTTCATTTAGTTGTAGAGGACTGTAGTTACCATGACAGTGTTACTCCAGGTCTAGCAGTGTAGATTGCCTTATTTAAGTTTAGTAAAACATTCAGGCATACTCATTTAACTTTCTGCCATATTATTGTATTTGAATTTATTTGTGTGCATAAGGAAGCATGTGGCTGCCTTTACCCTGGGGAATGTCCCCTAGTAAGTACCCTTTTGTTACAGGTGTAAATTTGTAAATTGACCCCAGAGTAGTTTCAGATATTAAGACAAAGAAAGAAGTTCAGTGTCTGTACTAGGAATCAACTTGCAGATCTCTGGAACTGTGTGCCACTGGTTTAATGACTCATCTATCACAGCTGACATGAGGCAATGAATCTAATAATCAAGTCATGCATTTTACTAATTTATCAAACTTTCATGTGACATTAAAAAAAATGATGTAGGAACCCAAATAGAAGGGTGACATTTACTGTATTTCAGCATTTCCAGAGAAAAAAGTAATTGTAATACGTTGTTTCTCCCTCTCTCTCCCCCCCTCCCCTCCCCTGAAAGAAAGTATAGACAGTTTGATACAGAGATGTCATGTGGGATGTCCAAAATGGAGGAAAGAAAACAGAGCTTTCAGAACATAACCATACAGAAAAGTTGAAGAGAAAGATTTAATTTTGGTGAGCACAGATCTAAAATTGTAGCCTTTGTGAATGGTGCATTGCTAAAAAAAAGCAAAAGATAAGTCCAAGAAACATAACGTGTACATAGTGGCATGTATGTAGCTTTTAATTGTTTGTACTAAGTGAAACAGATGACTGTCAGTTCTCTTCTCAAACAACACATAATTTAGAAGTTTAGAACTTTTAATTTTGTGATTCATCAGCTGAAGTCTGTTAGAAAGTTTGTGACAAGATTAGGTCTAATTTCATTATATTGATAGGAAAAATTGCTTGCTTGATCACTAAGTCTTGAAGCTGTGTTGGGAGAATTCTCCTCAACACTCAAATGCTGCTATGAAGTTTCATTCTCATTTACATATGCACAGGTTGAGGGGAGGTAAGCAACAGTTACAGAACCGGTTCTGCCTTATTATTTTAGGTAATGCACTATGTATAGTGTAGCCTTCTCCTTCATATTTAGCCTTCCCCTTGAAGGTGTCAGCTGATGTGGATATTAGCAGCAACTTTGTGTCAGCTAAAAAGAAAATAAGTTGACAGAACCACAGTAAAGAGAAGTGTAAGAATAAAAAAAACAAGTAGCAAAGAAGGAAGGTTGTCATTTCACATGGAAAGTAGAGGGTTTTTATGTTTTGTTTCATTCAGTGGAACCTTTTTATAGCAGATGTATCTGTTACAGTTAAATTGTAATGAAAGTTTTCTTTTGGTTCTTTATAGAGAAGTTAGTCTGCCCAGTATTCTTAACATTCTCAAGTTTTTATCTTGGTGGAGATGAAGGTTCAAGAAAAATCTGCACACATATCTGACCAGGGATTGAATTCAGAATCAGTGTCTTGCCCCAAGACAAATCATAATATTAATAATATATTTTAAAGTACTTTATTTTATATTAGTGAGAAAAGATAGGCTGATGGTTATCTTCTGTGAAAACAATTGAAGGAATGTAGGTGTCTTCTTGTCAGATTCTGTATATACTAGTCTGTGCTTGAAATGAGTATCATGGAGGACTAGTATAGCCTGTGTTGTCAACCAATAGTTTAATATCTGGTTTTATCATACTGTGTAAGATTCACATATTACTAAACTCCAAAACTTTATACTTGAAGCATCTCTTGTTTTCCACTTCTTATATCTTATAACCTCTTTAAGAATGTTTTCTAGTGACCAACTTTTAAAACTTTTTAATTAAAAAAATATGAATTAGGCAGAGGTTAAAAAAAGGGAAGCCAAGACCAAACTTACAGGGAAGAAGAAGAAGAGGTTAAAGAATTGGAACTAAAAATCAGAATTTTTTAGCATAAACATCTTAAATGTTGAATTTTCATTGCTGGTTGTCATGGCAAGCATTTTTATGTCTTTACCACACTGCTTGGAGAGTAGTTCAGGGTTTCATAAAATAAATACTACCTTTTTGATGCATACAAACACATAAGCTATTTATTAGCAGTGAAGAAAATGTCAGTGAAACTTAACAAAGCACAGTACATAAACAATAAAAGAAAGAGTGCCAGGCTGTTGCACCAACAAACATGACAAAGCACATTTCCACTTAGAAAAAATAATTTCAGCATGTCAGGAAGTTCTTTTGTTCTGGTACAGTACTTGACCCTAGTTTGCTAGTGGTAATTATTAAAGATGTTGCCTCCACCTTGGCTTAATGCCAGAGAAGGGCCAACAGGAGGCAATGACCTGAAGAAACTGGTAGTGAATACCATTTAAGGTCCAGCAATATGACCCAGGGTGGCACCTAGTTAGTACCGTTATTTCTGCATTGGCAGCTTTCATAGATTAACACAGGCAGAATACCTGCCTAATGGAAACTTTGTGGTCTCTGTACTTTTTTCTGACACTAGTCTACAGTGCTGTGCTATATCAGAATGTTTTATCTCCTAATGTATCATTACACTTGCTTTGTAACTACCCAAAGATCAACACACTACAGCTTGAAGTAGGAGTAAATATCTGGTGATCATCTCTGTTATTGGTGGCTATGAAAAATAATTTCAGTGTTAGCCTTGAGCCAAGTTCATGATACGAGGTCTTGTGTCTTATAACAGACTTTGACTCTTGTTTTGGACTGAAGATGGCAGAGTGTGATAAACTTAGTTCTTGTGACATGTCATTGTCTTATGCCACTCAGTGACCTTAGATATGTAAGTCATATTTGCCTTCCTTTCTTTAATGGTATTATTATGATAATTACACATCGATGCTATAAACAGAGTACAGGGTATGTAAGAGCATTTGGCAATTTAAGAATGAATGAAGAGCTTATTTGACAAATTCTTTGACTTCTTCCTTCCTGGTAATTTTATATGATTCTGTAAACAGTGTATATGAAGGCATGTGTTTTTGAA